ATAAGGCTGACATATGTAAGAACAAAACAGGAACACAGGAGTGAACCTAAACTCTGACAAGTGGAAGCTGCAAAAATACTGAGATCTTAACACAGAGATTTTTAAAAACAGCTTTCTCTCTAGACTTCAGCACAGACACACGAGTTTAGCTGGTGAGGACACTACTAAGGGGATTTGACCATCATGGGTTGGCCGTGGTCGGCCCTGCAGCCAAGCAGGACCGCAGCAGCATGGTTTGGCTATTCCCTGCTTTGGGGCGGGGCTGTAGTGGAAACATCATTTTGGCTAAGCTCAGCACAGCTTAGCTAAAGTGGACCAACCTGGGCTAATGGAAAAACCCTAAATATCGGCCCGGCCGATTTATCGGTCTAACCCTAATAACAAAAACATTTTTAGTTATTTTCTAGGACCGGTCAGGTATCAAAAGTGCCATAATCAATCGACTCTCTGAAGAGGACAATTAAATTCCCCATAAGATGATGACTTAATAACAATGAATCTTTTAGGATATCATGTTGTACCATTTTGTGTTTCTAAAAATAATAGTCAACAACTTTGAACTTTTCAAACATTTTGACTTTCACCATATCTTCTCCTCTAAATGATCTCCCACTGTTATATAAAATTGTGTTATGGCTCACCTCAACATACCAACTAAAAATACATCTTATTAAGGAGGAATGGGTGTTTCAGGGGCTTTAAAGGGTTTTAGCATTTACAAAAAAAAAGTTGAGGTTATAACTTTAACATAGAAAAATCTGCGATGATGAATAAATTATTTGTCCAATCACTTCAAAATTATAGTTTAGTTTTAAGTAATTCTCACATTTATCAATGGGCCACCAAAATTGCAAATGTGTCAGAGTTGCATTTAACTGACATGATGACATTCTACAAACTTTCTACAACATGACACATGCACATCAACCAGCCCAAAAGGAAGACACACGGGTGAGAAAGAAAGCATCTATGGGGCCTTGGAAGTAGCGCCGGGAGTTTTTCTGTGGTCACATTTCATGGTCAAGAAAAACGCCAGGCCCCCTGTGTTTTTAACATCTACACATTTCCCATCAGGCCCATTTAACCTTGTCGGGACAAGGCCATGCCCACTTACGTATAATAGGACATGTCCTGAGCAGGCGGGCCAGTCCACTGAGGGGGAGAGATCCTACCATTTTGAAACAAAGGACAGGGGTAAAGGAGATGAGAGTAACATTGGCCCTAACACACAAACACACACATACAGCCCATGGGATGGTGACCTATTTTAACCACAGGGACACTGGTAAACCTGGAGGTGGCCAGGTGTGTTTTAGTGAATGTCTAAGTATGTTGCATTTGAAAAAGTAAACACAAGAAATGTTTTTGCTGTGCAGTTTCCTCTAAAATAATCAACTTTTGCTGCCACACAGACCAGCCATGACTAAAATGTATCCTTTCTTCTTGCGATGGCCAGTTAACTGTATGTAGTGCTATTCCTCATCCAGCCCTCCACTGCCAAGACACATTGTTGGTATATCTACTGTACACTTCTATTGGAAACTGAATGTGTGTTTTATTCCCAGATATCTTAATAAAGTGAAGATAAAAGCAGAAGTGTTACCTGGTGACCTGACTGACGGCAGACTTGTACAGGCTGACAGGAGATGTGAAGTCTGGCTTCGAGGTGTGAACAGGTAAACTGGATATGTCTTTCTCATTGCCTGTCCTGCCTTGCTGAACCTAAGAAAGAGCCAAAAACAAACATATGATGCGTCATCATAGTAGAGATAGTTAGTGTTGATTTTAAGTAGATATAGCGAGAGGCTTATGAAGAAAATGCCTGGTGAAATGTAGAGGGAATGTGAGCTGTAAAGTCCCTCACAGTGATCTTGCTCGTCACCGAGCCGACTGTAGAGACCTCCAGACCCATACGCAGTCTCTTCTGTTTTTCACAGTAAGCCTTCCACGTGTCTTCATTGAAGCCATAATTGAAGTAGTCTGACAGATCCGCTCCTGCACACATAAAAACATACACTCGTGAAATACTGTGCATGCTAGACATGACTTGTCTTTATCAGTGTCACCAAACATCCTGCAAATACAAATAAGTGATGTGCCTGAAGGAACAGTGAAACTTTTTCTTGTTGTCATTTTGAAACTTTTAGCCACACAGACACACACAGACGCACACATACACACACATACACAAATACAAACACAAACCTGGCTTCCTCCAGGGCTTCTCTTCAAAGGACTCCATGTCCACCTCCAGCACTGGAACCCCATTAATGTTTCCAGGAGCATCAAGATCCACTCCCTTCAGCTTCGTGGCTACTAAAAACAAAAATGCAAATTAGTACAAAGAAGAAAAAGCAATTGTGTTGGTCAAACTACAAACTAGTCAGAGCAACAGTTTTAAGAACAGAGAGCGATACCTTGTCCATAAGGTCTGGAGCCTGTTGTCTTTATGTTGAGATTTACAGGAGGAGCTCCATATGTTCTATAGGAGGTGGAAAAAAACACAGTGTCCTTGTCAATGACATTACAAGGTCCACTCTGAATGAAAGTTACCATATACACCGTACATACTAAAGAAAACACTTTAATCTGCTAATGCCAGTTTGTGTTCAGAAGACATTTGGTTAGAAAAGTAAGTATCTAAGTATCATGTCAATGCACCAAAATAAGCGTATACAGTCCAAACAGAGGTCAAGTTTACATTGATGTTTTACGGAAGTTACATGGTAGGATATGGTGTGTTAACAATGCTCTGAGATGATATATGAAAACTATCTGAAAACCATAGTTTGTAAATATAACTGCAAATGTAAGATTGTTGTATTTGGACATCAAAACCTCTAATTGAACTCTGAAGAGACAGACTGACTCTGAAAGCTTAATGTTTTTTTGAAGCATCAGGCAGGAAAACACATTTTACATGAAAACATGAACATTTTAAGTTAGGCTTCTTTACTGCTACAAGTCACAAGTTGCAAACTTCATATTCCATCTCACTTCTAACTTATTCTAACTAGCCAGCTAGTGCTACACTTTAACTGAAACCTACGTGTATTGTGGTGCTCCCGTTTTGATGTCTCCAATGGTCACTCGGACATCATCGTCATCATCATCACTGTCACTGTCACTGTCCACATCTTCACCTGCTCCTTCACCTGTGGCCTGACATCCCAAAACTGGCAGGTGAGTATGAGTGTACTTGCAAAAAAATAAACAAAAAACAACAACAAAAAAGCACACATTACAACATGAACTGACTGTGTGCATGTAAGCTACCTACCTCAGAGGACACTCCATTTCCTGTAGCATGTGCAGCAGCATCTTCTGTAGAAGCATCAGCAGGTGCACTGTGGATTCAAAGAAGCATTACATATAAAGTTCCTTCAAGCCACAGACAGCACACATCCTCAAACAGTGCAAATGAAAGAATCATAAGAAGCACAAGATTAACTGCTATATATTAGGTGATCCAGCGACAATTTTCTTTGTACCAGTGCTTGAGAAGCTTATAAGCACAGGGTATAAAATGTGTTTCATATCAGTATCTGCATGTTAGGTTGTAGTCCCTATATTCATTATAACTCTCTCTAATTTCTCTGATTTAAAGACATAATTGTGATGGAAATGTACCACAGAATTAAAAGCTAGAGCTTGACATTATTTTTTCTGGTACTCTTACACGGGTGCTTACACCTGCTTTTATTTATATAACCTTTATTTTCTGTGGTTAGTTTAGAAATACAATAACAACTTAACTGTCAGTCTATCTTTGCACTTTTCAAGAAGCGTGCTTTTCAGTTAGATAAACAGATTGAGTACTTTATCAATGCCAAAGGGAAACTGCAGCTTAACAGCAGCTACTTCACATAATTCACAAAAACATGAGGTATCATGTAATACACTGTAATGTTATGTGCATTCATATACTTTTCTGTAGATCTCAAGCATTTATTGTTGCATATGTTTAACTTTTTTTAATATTTATTTTAACTTCATCCTGTTAACACGACCTCGCTCTCTGCTGTGAACAGGTGTCTTTTTGAAGTCTTCATTGGTGTGAAAATGTCTCATACAAATTTAGGGTGTTTATATGGGTGTGTATGGATGTTACTTACCTGACTGCAGCATTCAGTTTGGCTTCTTCATCCTCGTCTTTGCTCTCAGATTCATCTGAAACAAAACAAAACAATTTTTATTTCATCCCTACCTAGAGGCCATTCGCTGTTAATGTTTAACCAAAGCTCAAAATCCAACAGTGAGCAACAGAGAGAACATTCCCCACATTTCTACCCCGCAAGATAACTTGTAATATGACAGACATAGTTTTACATATTATTGCACCAATTCATAAAGCTGCAAAAGGCGCTGCTAGCTGTTAGCTTAGCTTCCAGACTCTCCAATCCTCTCATACTAGCAGACAGTGTTGTAAGTTAGCAGTTCATTAGGACAGCAGCTGACCAACTGATTCACGTCTGTGTCGGTCAGGAGAAGTTTTAATTTTTAAGCTGCTGCTGCTGTTGTTCTTTGTTTTGTTTTTTTACCTCCATATAGCCATTCCTCCTCCTCATCTCCAGCGCTCGCATCAGTGGTGGTTGTTTTGTCCGCTTCCTCCGCAGACATGTTCAATTGACACGAAGCCGTGAACCCACTGCGGCTTCGACAAGAACGATGTTCAACAAAGCTCCTAGATGTAAATATACAGGTACAACTTCTCCCTTCAGCGGAGAAACGCAGTTATGAACAAGAATTTATGACTTCATATGTTCATCTCAAGCCTCTGTGCTTTAGCGTTGGCCCGGAAGAGATTGTTGGCGTCCCGCTAAGGTCAACGTCTTGATGCGGCGAACACAGCAGCGCCCCCTGGAGGACAAGAAGAAACACCACTCTACGTTCAAGTGGCGCTAAATTATGATTGTTTCTTATTTATCTTTTTTTTTTTTTAATCGTGGGCATGTTATGTAGTGTGGCAAAGTACATGATAGACAAATTGATGGCCCCAGATGCAGGTGCTCGGCAACAAGGATAGGGAATGGTGGAAGGAGTTCAAGCAATGGGCTGGGCTGCTCGATATACAATATTATGAACACGGTAGTGTCCACATATTTTTGGCCATAAAGTGTAGAAATATGCAGTAATGCTAAATTATTAAATATAACACAGCGAGTTACAGAAGTGCAAAGTTACAGGACTTAACACTCACTGGATTTACAAGGAAATAAACAGTCTCTCTTGTACCTGAACTGCTCCAGTGGTACAAACTGTGATTGTCTACATACTATACGTTTGTAATGGTGGGGTAATTAGGTATATTTACTCGAGTAGATCTACTGTGCTAAAGTAGGCTACAACTTTGAAGTACATGTATATTTACCTCAGTATTTCCATTTTTTATTACATATTATTATTACTTCTACTCCTCTACACTTTGGAGGCAAATATTGTGCTTTTCACACCCCTGCATTTATCTGACCAGATCTGATTTGTCTATTTGTTTGTCTATTTGTAATGTAAAATATAACCACCTTATAAATTGTGCTGTTTTAGTATAGATTAAGCTACCAAGCAGTATATAAAGTTGTTACAATCAGCATGTTCGCCAGCTGCAACATTAATGCGTCCATACTGTAGTTATAATACAGTTATATAAAGCACAGAGCACATTACATACACTAATGAAATAACACAAAGTGAAACAAGAGTAAATAAGATAATAGCCTACTTAATAGAAATCCATATTAAAATCCAATCCAAACAATCACTAATGTATGTGTTTAGCTGTATCTTAAAAGAAAATAGAAGTAGCGGGGTTGATTGTGACCAGTAGATCATATAGGTGCCATGATGGTAAATGCATCTTTCCTTGGTTTCAAACCTTGACTTAGGAGCTATGAGGAGAGTTTTTTTTTCTGACCTCAGTGTGCACTCTTGCATGTATCAGCTTATGATCTTGGAGCTTGGAGTCAATCCATTTAATACCTACCTACCTACCTACCTACCTAACTGATTCTCAATTTACTCTATGGACTTTACTTTCCATCAGTTTTTGAATAAAGCCATCATATTTTCCAGCAGCATAGTTTGCCATATCTTGGAAAGTGGCTAAAATTTCACTTATCCAAGCATTAACCTCATTTATGTATGATGCAGCTAGTGAAGGTTGGGCTAACTACTTTATAAACCTTAATTTACAATAATACATTATAATTTATTTGCTGATTACTCTTTGTACTAATAATCACGATCTGACATATAACCAATAACTTAAATTGTCATCAAATGTAGTGGAGTATGATGTGCAGTATTTCCCTCTGAAATGTAGAGTAGACGTATTAAGTAACATCACATGTAGTTACTCAAGTAACGTACAAATACCTCAAATTTCAGCTGAATTCCTGTACTTAGATCTATTTGGTTACACCTCTGTCCATCGTCTTGTAAGTGTCTGATATAAAGAGTAGTTGCAGACTCATCATCAGTGAACTGAGTCTTGTGATTGCTGCTGTGGTTCTGTTTGCACAAGAAGTTGCCTGTTAATGCAAAGAGGATTGTTAATGCATTTATGGCATTTGACCAGTTAAGTGGGGCCACTTTAGCTTTGTCAGTAAATGACAAGGAAATGTGTGGATTCTCTCATTCTCTCCGTTCACCACCTCTTTAGCTACATCAGTTCTTTACTGTGGTCATTATACAGAAGCATGGACAACATTCACACATAAATTGGTGTATCTGATGCTGAGATTAGATTAATTGGTAAACATGTAAATGCTCACAGAGAGAGGGAGAGAGAGAGAGTGTGTGTCGTAATATTATACTTGTGAGTCCATTGATTTTTGTACCACACCAGGGTTCATATCATAAGTATCTGTCTATCACATCATATGTGTGAGCTTTTGTGTGGAACTCTGTATGTTCACAGTTACACACACTTAAACACACACACACAGAGGGATGCTAATGGTCTCTCAGTTAAACTGATCATGGGAATCACATTTATTTCATTCACTCTGTCTCCCTCAACCCCATCTCTCTTTCAATCTCTGTTACTCCTTTCTGTCTTTCAGCCGACCTTTTAACCTAATCACATTCCCATCCCCTCTTTTCTGCTCTTCTGTTGAAAAAGACCATACAAAAAAAGATAATAAAATCAAAATCAGAAGAGGAGTCAGCTTTGGAAGGAGTTAAGCTCAGTTTCATGTGCTGTTCCTCTGGTTCTCCCTCAGGCCGTGACCTGCTCTGACGTATTTTGCTGCTTCTCTTTCCCCCGTCCCTCCCTTCTCATTCCTTTCCTCTTCACCCTCTGTATCATCCTGTCTGTCTCTGCCTGTTGTTGGCTCCCTCCCTCCATCCCTGCGTCCATCCCTCTCTCCTTACGGTGGATTAAGGCAGCTTACAGCCTAGTCGATGCTAATCAGGTTTATCCAGACAGAGGGCGATCATTGGGCTATCAGTAATTACACACGCTGATATTAGCTTACTCAGATACTGTATGTGCCTTGGCACATTTTCAATCCACATCATCTCTTTGGATCAAACATATGGTTATCTCAAGAGTGTGATGCCATACATGACAGTTTAACATGGCAGTCTCTGCTTCATTGTTTTGCAGGACAAAGATCCATCTGTTGTGAAAATAAACATGTTTATTTTAAGATAAAGCCTCAGATATATGGGATAATTGTTGAAAATGTGCATAGAGAAACTGCGGTTTTTCTGCTGATGTACAAGTAAGATTTGCAATTAAAAAATTATTGACCTTTCTCTGACGTTTTGCACCAGAACTTCACTGCAAAATAGTTCACACAACTAACATAGAATTTTCCCAATTTGATAATTCAATTCAATTCAATTCAAACTTTATTTATAGAGCGCATTTCATGCACAAGGCAGACACAATGCGCTTTACAGCATACAACAAAACAATAACAAACAATACAAAGCACAGAGTAGACAAGCACACACACACACACACACACACACACACTCAATCAAACGCATGTTTGAGGCAAAAGCTTTAGACATTTTAGGGATATGCTTGGTAGATTTCTGGTGAAGAGGTAGATGAGGAGATTTGTACAACTCTCGTGTGTCTGTTAAATATGAAGCTATAGCCAGTAGCTGGTTAGCTTAGCTTAGCATAAAGACTTCAAACAGCCCACCAGCACCTCTAAATCTCACAAAAGAACATGTTTTATCTCATTTATTTAATCGCTACAAAAACCAAAGTGTAAAAAAGACATGGTTTTATAGGGTGTTATTTGCCGGACTACTTCTTGGCTCTGAACAGTTGCTAGGCAACCAGCGGAGACTCCAGGAAGTTACAATGCCTGGCCAAGAAATGGTGCGGCACATAACTGCCCAAAAACAGCAAACTGTCATGTTTGTACTTTGGTTTTTGAACAGATTACAAAAACAAACATACACAAGACTGGTACCAGTCTTCCATGTAACTCTCCGCCAGAAAGCAGATAAGCATATTTCCCAAATTGTGGAACTATTCCTTTCAGGTTGCAAATAAGGAAAATGACCTGAGGTACAATCCCGCAATACTGGATTCAGTCAAAGTAAATTCCATCAAAGTGAATCCAAGGCCTTACCATGAGGATCTGAGGAAGTGTTTTTTTCTCTCTCTAACCCAGCTCTTAGTCCAATTTGTTCAATGGGTCATAATTGATATGAGAAACACCACAACTGAACCATGGATGGACACTTAACAACCACACAGAGTGGGTATAAAAAACCCTCCACTGCACTGACTGTATTAAAGGAGAGGAAAGACAAATGGACACAGATATCAGGTTTATAACGTCCAGTCAGCAGAGAGAGAGAAGTGTTGGATTGCATCAGGAGAAAAGAGGTTATGCTGAGCATTTGGCCAATCAGTGAAAGGAGAAACAGTGAGGTATGCTTTCAGATGAAATGTGTGTCCATGTGTGTGTTTGTGTGTGTGTGTGTGTGTGTGTGTGTGTGTGTGTGTGTGTCTGTGTGTCTGTGTGTGTGTGTGTGTTTTTCTATCAGTGAGGTTTTGTGCTTAGAGGCAAACAAAGTGTACGGACGTGCCCGAGGGTGTGAAGATAGCTCCATTTGTAGGTGATTGAGTAAGGATGTGTGTGTGTGTGTGTGTGTGTGTGTGTGTGTGCGTCACTGTAAAGGAGGACAGAGAAAGAGTGGCGGGAGGGGGAAAGGGGAAGGTGAAAGAGAATGAGAGAGAGAAAGAGAGAGAGGGAGAGAGGGAGAGAGAGAGAGAGAGAGAGAGAGGGAGAGAGAGAGGGAGGGGGGAATGTTTTTCATTACGTAATCTAATCTAAGTGGCTATTTTTCTTGTATAAAACCTCCGCTGCCCTCTGTGAGACTGCTATCCTCATCTGTCTAAAAGCACTGAGTTAGTCATGCTGTGGGTCCACACACACACACACACACACACACACACACATCAAGTCACAGTGAGTCAGCCCAGATCTGCTATAGACGCTCACCTCAGTGATGAATAATGAAATAGGGAAAGGCATATAAACTGCTCAAATGACATGTGAACTCAGTGGAAAGTAGACATATGGATGATCCTGATGCACACTCACACACAAACAGACATAGTGACATCTTCATAGAGCATATGGGCAGCTGGACTGTGGGCTGGTGAACAGGTGTATAGTACTTTGACACCCTGAGGTGCAGGTTTCCTTTGTCTGAATGCAGAATATTTAACAGAAGGTGTCCAACTCTGACTGGGTGGTGAAGGTGAAAAGTTTGGTTCATCTGTCAGTAAAGAAAAACTTTGGTCAGACATTTTGGGAAATACTCTTGCTGAGTTGGATGTCAAGGTTGTTACCCCTCTCATGTCTGTGTCTAATCTGCAGATGATAAAACCCAGCTTCCAGCACCTCTAAAGGTCACTAATTAACAAAATGTGTTAATTGTGACCCAGACCAGAACTGTACTTTTTGGGTCGAGCGCTGCATGTCCTTATTTGCTTTTATGTCAGATGTGTGACCACATTTTGAAGTCAACTCAATTTTGTGTGAGAAACAACAATACTTTTTTGTAGTGAATAATATGAAATACTCCTCTGAGGCATCAGAGGGTTCTGCAAA